ATTATGTACCTGTGCCCTAGGATCTAGGCAAGGAGGCCAAGAACCTTACAGACCACCAACCTCTAAGGCACATGGGTTCAACACCCACTGTGTAGGTGGGCCCAAGGTCCAAGATCATGCAACCCAGCACCTGCCAAATCTGCCAACACCAGGACACATGGACCTTGCCCCCATCACTTAGGCAGGCTTGGTGACCTGGGCCAGGAGACCCAGGCCCCTCTGGGCCTCCTGCTCCTAGGGCTCACAGATCCAGCACCCACTGCACAGGCAGGTTCAGGAGACAGGAGGTTCAGGCCAGGAGACCCAGGCCCTGCTGCACCCTCTACATCTGGGGAACATGAACCTGGTTCTGATCAGGCAGGCTTGGTTAGCTGTACCAGGAAATCCAGGCCCCTTTGAGCACATAACCCTTGCACTCATGGACCCAACACCCAGTACATAAATGGGCCCTAAAACCTGGTCCAGGGGATTCAGGGACCTCTGGGCTCCCATCAATGGGGCTCACAGACCTGGCTCCCACCACCTCCTGACACAGCTCATCCCTCAGCATCCACCAGTGGGTATTTCAGTTGCTGTAAGCCCCTAAGTCCTGGCTTGAATGTGAACTGGCTGGTGATGTGGCCCAACTCAGCCCCCTTGTACCACATCTGGGTTCTTGGATCTGCTAGTGAATGTTATGAGTTAGCTTGGCCTGGCCCACGCCCTGACTAGATTCACATATATGCCAGTGGATACTGTAACCTGGTCTGGGTTGGGTTGCTCTTTCCCTTGGTTTTTGCACTTACTTACAGGGACTGCAACCTGACAAAAGAGTTCATCAAATTCCTCTCTCTGATCTCCTCCTAGTGGCAGATTTTATGCTTATTGGTGGGTCCGTGGCCCAGGCTGACTCTCTCTACCTGTTTTCCTGGCAAGGACAGTGACCTTGTCCCATTGATACATACTTTCTGGTTCTTACCATTGGGTGCTGCAGCCCATTCATACCTGGTCTGTACCAAATCACAGCTCTCACATGGTTCAGTGGAAGCTGAGACATTGCTCAGCCCATTCTACATCCACCCTAATTCTCACGAGTAGCAGTGCGTGTTGGAGTATATTTTAACCCGGCCCTCCCCAGACTGAACAGGCCACATCCATGTTGAGGGAGACTGAAGCCATGTTCCACCTAGGACACTGTGCCAATCCTGGTACTTTTATTCACCAAAGGGAATTCCAGCCCAGCTGGGGTATCCTCTTAGATCCCCAACTAGGTCTATTTTTAGCCACAGTACTTGTGTGTGCCAAATAATACTGCTGTTCCTCAGGGGTGAGCCCACATACTGCCCTGCAAATTCTAGCCCCAGGCCTGATTCACTCACATATTTGTTGACTTCATGGTCTAGTCTCACAGAACTTCTTCCCTTTATTGACACTTTCTGGTGGGTCCCATGTTGTGGCCCTTCAAGTAGGGTGGCCTTATCAATGGAACTTTGAGAGAAGTCATTCCTCATCTGGACCGGAACCGTAAATTTCTTGCTGATTCCCATCTGTGCCATCTCTCAGACTCCCAGTAAGCTCCACATCCCAAGATCCCAGAGCTCATTGCCTGGCAGCCTGCAGGCTTCACCCAGGTACTCTTGTTGTGCAGGCCTACTGGCCATGGTACTCCCCGCAGCTGCCACATGGCTGAGAAAGTTAAGCATCCAAGCCTCCAGCTTCAGACTTGCCTGAGCTGCTTCCACCAGGATCTAATTAGATACAGCTCAACATGTTCTTATACAATTATCCAAAAAACTAACAGGGATTTAAGAATTACTAATTTGATCCTACAGAATTACTGCTAGTAAAAGCTTCACACGGTCACTATTTCTGAATCCTGGTAAGGTCTTTTCAGTGTTACTGCCCATTCCCCTGCAATAAGGCTCCCAGATCATTATGCCTAGATTCATCACATTATAGTAAAAATCAGAACCTCTATGTCCCAGTGAACAGGATTCTAAAAGATAACCTCAGGTCTGACATGAGCAAGGAAAGCTATTCATGTGAAGTTATTGAGGGAAGGGACTCAGGTAGTTACTAAAGAGGATCCCACCTTCAGATAATTACTGTACACTGCTGATAAAAATCCATTACCAAATTATGTGACATTACTAATTACTGTACATAATTGTGTTTGTTTCCTTGCATTTAACTGCAAAACATAATTATGCTTCTATAACTCATGGAGAAAAACCAAGTGTTCTAATTATGCCAGGGGTATCATTTGTGGTAATATTTCTTGCTTCACAATTCCTAAATTTTACTGATTTGCTCCTTCATTCGGGTAGCATTTTGCCTCTTCCGTGTCAGCCTGCACACATTCCATATGATCACCAGATGACCATTATCCACAAGGCTTACTGATTCTTTATTACTATTTACATTAACTGATGGTGGTGTTCATTTTCATGATACTCACATTCAGACTGAATGCACAGACATAAGGAAATTAATTAGCTTGTATACTGGAAAAAATAGCTAATGCCACAGTGACCACCTTAAGAAATTAATGATGAACTGAGCAAGTTCAACTGGTAGTTTCGCAAAATTACATCATTTGATACTAAATGAACAAGATATTTACAATAGTTGAGAGGGTATTTTTTAAAAATTTTTCACATTTTATTATTATTGCTATCATTTTACGATGCAGTTCCATATTCCCTTATCCCCTCCCTAGTTCCCCCCCCCCCAGTTCCTTTATATCATTACTAACTATAGTTAGTCATACTCAGTCATATGTTCCTCATTGTGGGCATGGACAATGGCAGAGTCCAGAATCCTATTGTCAAAATATATTATAAACAGTTTCACTTTAAGTCCATCTTTGTCTGGAAACAGAGATGCCGACCACACTGCATCCTCACATCTGCATATTAGTCTCCATTACATAACTACTGTCCATTCCCTTAAATGAAAAGTCATGATACAAAATCAACAATAGAAAGAAAAATAGAAATTTACAATGCCATGAAGTTAAATGACATGTTACTAGATATGGCAGCCTCCATTACCCAACTACTATACCTTCCCTTAAATGAATAGCCACAAAACAAAATCAACTTCCGGGAGAAAAAAGCAATTAACAACACCAAGAAGTTAAACAACATGCTATTAAATGTATAACGTGTAGCTGAAGTGAAAATCAAGAACCTTCTTGAAGAAAATGATGCTACTGTATGATCTATGAGTCATTGAATGATTTAATCAGAAGAAAGTGTTTTGAAGAGATGAAACCAACAGAAAACAACAAAACCCATGTGATAGTTTCCGCTGATCTTTGTTGGAGTGTGTCTCCTCCCGACAATAAACAGATGGGTTTTGTTTTTTAATCCAGTCTACTAATCTATGATGTTTGATTGAGCTTAAGCAATTTACATTTAGAGTTAAATATACATAGGTGGTACTTTGGTCCTGTCATTTTAGGAATGGGTTGTTTAGTCTTCTGTTGTGATTTCACTGGGATGTTCTTCCCGTTTGCCTTTGGTTTTGGTAGATACTATTCCTCTTCTCTGTCAAGAGAACATCTGGAAGTATCATTTGTAGGGCACGTTTGGAAAAGGCAAATTCTTTTAGCTTTTCTTTACTCTGGAAGAATTTTATTTCATTTTCAAAGATGAAAAAAAGCTTTGCTGGGTATGTTATCCTAGGCTGACAATTTTTTTTTTTTTCTTTTAGAATCTGGAATATGTCACTCCATTCTCTTCTTGCCTGTAGTTTCCTGTGAGAGATCTCCTGTGAGTTTAATTGGCCTTCCTTTATATGTCAATTGATGTTTTTCACGTGCACATTTAAGGATCTTTTCCTTATGTTCAATTGAAGAGAGCTTGATAATCATATGTCTTGGTGAAGATTGCTTTTGATCAAGACTGTTGGGAGTTCTGTGTCCCTTCTGGATCTTGTTTCCCAATTCTTTCTCCAGATTAGGGAAATTTTCCTTGATTATTTCATTAAATACATTTGCAAACTCAGCTTCTCTTTCTGCACCTTTTGGGACTCCCATAACTCTTATATTTGGCCTCTTAATAGTGTCTTTCAGTTCTTGAATACTTTTTTGGGCCTGATCCAGTTCTGCTTCCAGCTTTTTGTTTGCTTCCCCCTGGTGACAGGAGATATCTGCCTATTCTGAGATTTTTTCTTCTGCTTGCTTCATTCTATTTTGGAGACTCTCCACTGTAATTGTAATTTGCTCTACTGTGTTCTTAATTTCTGATATATCAGCCTCGATTTCCTTTACTGCTTCCTTAAATTCTTTGAACTCTTGCATGAGTTTCTCATTTTTGATCAGAAGCTTAAAATGAGTCTTATGGATTCTGTGTCCCCCATTTTCTCAATATCTTCCTCAGTTAACTCTGAGGTTGGCATAGGGTTTTGCTCCTTTGCAGGGGAGTTTTCAGTAATATTCATTGTGCCTTTGTCTCTTCTTTTGTTCTTGCTCATTGTACTTCTGGTTAGCAGAGTCTTCTCCTTGGGGCAGGTTTCTAAGCTGTGTCACCCACAGGTCTACAATGCAATTTTACTTATTGCAGTTGGTACACAACTTTTTGCTTGCAGCCACTTGTGCCACAACCTCCAGTGAGTTCCAGGTCTGGGTTCTTATGTCAGATATCCACCGTGGTCTCCACAGCCCCAGCTCTTGGCTCACCACTCTCCACCTCCTGTGATACCGTGCTGAGGCTTCACTGTTGTCTCTGTAAACTTTCTCCCTCACTGCAACACCACACTGCTGTGCCCACTGCTTTTCTGTGTCTGTCAGTCTCCAGGTACCCCTCTGCTCTTGTTATGTCCTTTCATATTTCTTGAAATATGTCCTCTCTGCTTCAATCTGGTTAAATGCTTCTCTATCCATTTTAACGTGTCCTTGCCCTAATCCGCCATCCTGATTCTCCCGGGAGGGTATTTTTAATTTAATCAAACACAATGCCAGTTCAAAGAGAAACTGATAAACTACAAGAATACATATGCTGTTAGGAAATTTTTCAGAAATGGGAATGTACTTTAAAAATGATATTGGATACCTCAGGGTCAGCATTATCGTTTATACACCTGTTAAGAGCACACATACAAACATAATACATTCACATGTATTTCAGATTAAGAAACCAGAAGCCATCCAACTGCAGGTCACACTTCAGATAAAAGAGCCAGCATATCTGCATTTGACTAGAGGCACTTAGATTGGGCCAGAGGAGAATGCTGTGATGCTGTCCTTCAACGAAATCCTATTACAGCATTATGCAGCTAGAGACATCACTGCCACATTTGTCTATCAAAAGTTATACCTCATACTTCTGAAAGGAAATGTGAGGGGAAGCATTATATAACACATTACAACAGTGCAAACGCAACTAGGTCAAATCCATATGGGATTTCTTCAAAAGGTTTTCTAAAGTCACTAAATTAACCATTAATTATGAATTTTCTGATTCATAACAATCTTATACCTCCCAGGAAATGCATTCACACAATTATAAGGTATTACTTCTAACAAAAGATTTTCCATATTCATTACTCTGACACCTCTTCCACCATATGAATTCTCTGATGCTTAATGAGGGAAGACTTCTGCCAAAAAGCTTTCTCACACTCTTTACATTCATAAGGCTTTATGCCTGTGTGAACAGTCTGATGTCTTAGGAGGTGTGACTTCTGGCAAAATGCTTTTCCACATTGTGTACATTCATAAAGTTTCTCCCCTGTGTGAATTTTCTGATGAGTAATAAGGATTGATTTTTGGCAAAAGGCTTTTCCGCACTCTTTGCACTCATAAGGTTTCTCTCCTGTGTGAATCCTATGATGTCTAATGAGATCTGACTTCCAGTAAAAAGCCTTCCCACACTCATTACACTCATATGGCTTCTCCCCTGTGTGCATTCTCTGATGTGTTGTGAGGTGAGACTTCCAGCAAAAGGCTTTTCCACACTCTTTACATTCATAAGGTTTTTCCCCTGTATGAATTCTTTGATGTGTAGTAAGGTATGACTTACGGCAAAAGACTTTTCCACAGTCATTACATTTATAAGATTTTCCTGTGTGAATTCTCCGATGTTTGATGAGGTCTGACTTCAACCAAAAGGCTTTTCTACACTCTTTACATTCATAAGTTTTCTTACCAGTGTGGATTCTCTTATGGGTTAAAAGCAGTGATTTCTGGAAAAAGGCTTTTCCACAAACATTACATTTGTGTGGCTTCTCCTGTGTGTGAATTTTCTGATGTGTTTTCAGGAGTGATTTATGAGAAAAGGTTTTTCCACATTCATCACATTCATTAGGCTTCTTAGCTTTCTGAATTGTCTGATTTCTAATAAACTCTAACTTCCAATAGGTAGTTTTTCCACATTCATTGCACCTATGCATCTTCTCCCTTTTGTGAGTCATTTCATGAAAGGTGTGACAGGATTTACAACTGAAAGATTTCCCACAAGGTTTACACATGTAAGGCTTATTGCGCATATGTGCTTTCTGACTCACTGTAATATTTGATTTGCTAATCAAAGTGCCCTCACAGTCAGTAGATTCTAATAATTTCTTCCTTGTGTGTATCTGCTGTTTACTATGACTAGGGCTTCTCTGAAAAGTTTCCTTTCCTATCTTGGCTACATGTCTGACAGTGGAAGCTGACTTATTTTTACAGGTCTCTTCTATATGAACCCTCTCAAATGCAATGCATTTCTTCTTTCTTTTGAGGGCTTTCCCTTTTCCACTCTTCTCAGAAGCATGCCGCACAGTCTGAATCTCCTGATGCTGACTAAGAGACTCAGAGCATTGGGGAGAGTTCTCAGGCACATTACAGCTACTGGATTTCTCTCCAGGTTGAATTTTATCAGACCCACTAGAGAAATGCACATTGTGAAATACATTCCATACACCTCTTTTCATTTCTGAAAAACTTATCCTTTTGATAACCAGTTTTGGAACACGGCTTGGGCAGAAATTAAGTCCTTTTCTTAAATCAGCTTTGAGATTTGGCATGTTGTTTGTCACTGAATCTTGTCTCATACTAATGTCTTCATTTTCCTGGTTGGTTTCACTTAAGCCATGCTTTTCCTGGGGAACTGAAATAAAAAAAAAATACATAATTGAATAACATGTAAAAGCTTCTCTTGAGATGCTCATGTAAAGACAAGTTATAAGCTATCTCAATTCTTACAAATTCTTAAACATACTAGTAAGATAAGTAAGAATTACAGTTTTCCTCCTTTTTAGGAGTGTTAATTTTAACAGATTTCCCAATATTCAATCATGATTCTTATACTTTAAATATTTTCTAATTACGTCAAAATGGGTTAGGTGGTAAAGCGCATTAAGCCGCAGATGAGATACCCATAACAAAGAAAAATTCAGAGTTTCAGTCCTGGATAACCTGTTTCCACTGCAGCCTTTGCTAGTATATCTTGTAAGGCAGCACATGACCATTTTAGTGTTTTTGAGTCCGTGACACATTTGAGACTCCATGACAGATTCCAGCCCTTTGGTTGTTTTAGGCTTCTGGGGGAGTGAACCATTTAAGAGATTATCTCTATATGTCCCTTTGTTTCATTACATCTATCAAGAAGAGTAAAACAAGTAAGGTGAGAAATAATCTGAAAATATTCAGTAAATATATTAACGCTGATGGGTAAAATGCCGTACTTTCTACTATCCATCTGTGTTCCCTGCCCTTGTACTCTTGGTGTTTCTTGCCAAAAAACCTTTTCTGCTGATTTCATTATTAAAGAAGGATTGTTTTATTGAGTCACTGACATCCAAGTGAAGTAGAAGGAAATGTGTCTATACTCTAAAGAAGATGAGCTGCAATTAACAGGACAACAACATATGATAGTCCACCAATAGTGTGTTTACTTTCTTTCACAAATATCTGCTAAAAACTGTTGAATGGAGGAAAAAGAACAAGTTATGAGAACAAAGTAGGAGAGGAAATATTTGTTTTGGAACTATACCTGTGAAACGTTTAAACTTTGTTCTCCTTATATGCATAAAAAATAATTTAAAAAGTGTTTGCTAGCTCCCTCTGAGATCTCCTTTCATAGTTTTCTCCACTCAGCTCTTGTTATACACACTTCTGTTTGACAACTTACATTTCTATAGCTTGTTGATTTCTGAGATACAAGAGTCGTTTCAGACTTCTACAGAAACAGTCTCCTATGTTTTTATTGTTTTTCAGTGCTACTGATTGATACTGAAAAACTTCAAAGAGCAAACTCTGCTCCCTAACAAGCCTTAGCCAGTCAATTCGCAGCAAAGATCTCACACATGAAAATTAAAGACCTTCTAAAAGAAAAAAAAATAGGAAGACTCTAATATTCAGCCAGCCTTATACTTGATACTTAATGATACACACAGAAATATTACTAATATCATGAAAGAATGTGAATGCAGAAAATTTCCTAATAAAATTTCAAAGAAAATTCAAAGAGGAGCAACATTTATAGGAAATGGTAGCACAAAATTATGAGTAATCAATAAATGGAGATGGAATTACATGGAGATGGGACAAAAAGAGATTAAAGAACATTTTACTGAGTGAATCATGCCTCACAGAAAAATATCAGCACCCAAATAACAAACACCTCAGAAATGAATGAAGATGAATAACACAATATATCAAATATTTTGGGATACAGTAAAAGCACTGTTAAGAGCAATGTTTATGGCATTTAACGCCTTCATCAAGAAACAGTAAGAACATCAAATAAATGATCTAACAATGCATCTCATGGAACTAGAAAAATCAGGAAAAGCAAAGCCAAAAGTAAGAGAAAAAAATAAAAATTTAAAAGTTGAATTTTAAAAAGTGTTACAAAAAGTGAGGAGAGAGCAATATGGCAGAATAGGTTGAGGACATGTTAAAATAAAAGAAGGATTAGCCATGAAAAAGAAGAGTGTGCAATCCTGTGAAGCGGGAGAGGACAGGCAAGAATGACACTGGAAACCCATGGACATGGGAAAGTAGCAGATAAAGTGGAGGTTCTTTGAGAAAAGTTTTTTTATTTAAACTCACCAAAAGCAGAGGCAACAAAAGACAAAATAAACATTTGGGACTACATTGAACTAAACAGCTTTATTACAACAAAGGAAACAATCAACAAAGTGAAGAAGCAAGCCAACACAATGGGGGAAACTCTGCACATTACAAAACTGATAGGGGACTATCATGTAGGATTTATACTGAGCTTCAGAAATACAATGATAGGAAAACAACCCTGTGAAGAAATAGGTGAAGGAAACGAACATTTATAAAAAGAACAAATACACATGGCTAACAGGCATTTGAAAAAATGCTCAGGCCCCGTAGCTATCAAGAAAAATACAAATGAAAAAAATACATTGAGATTCTACCTTACTCCAGGGAGACTGTCCTATATTCAGAACTCTAGCAAGAACAACTGCTGGCATGGATGTACCCTACTCTGCTGTTCATGGGAATTTGTAGTAGGCTACTGCAATCACTACAGATTCAGTATGGAGAGTAATAAAGTCCTCACCTTGAATGCAATGGGATCCTATATGAGCGCCAGTTCTAATCCCGGCAGTCCTGCTTCCCATCCAGCTCCCTGTTTGTGACTTGGGAAAGCAGTTGAGGACAGCCTAAAGCCTTGGGACCCTGCACCTGCGTGGGAGACCCGGAAGAGGCTCCTGGCTTCGGACTGGCTCAGCTCCAGCCGTTGCAGCTGCCTGGGGAGTGAATCATTGGACAGAAGATCTTCCTCTCTGTCTCTCCTCTCTGTATATCTGCCTTTCCAATAAAAATAAACTAATCTTTAAAAAATATTGACCATAATAGGTCTGTACTTGGGAAGCAAGCAGAAACAATACTAGTCTATAGGTGTTAGTGTACCCGGAGAGCAGAGACTCGGTAATTGCGCTACACAACTGATCCACTTGGCCCATGATGCTGGAGGCTGTGCCTAGTCCAAGAGCAGTGCTGTATCTGGCGAGGGTCTTTGTCCTGTGCAACAATGTGGCAAAGAGAAAGCACCTGCTTTGGAAGATGGTATGAATGACCAGGTTCACATTTATTGCAATTTCCTCTAAGAATCACTACTCCAGGCCAAAACTGAGTATCCGAATATACTCTTGAAGTTTGTGCGCACCTGACTCTATTAAGTTTTACTGGGTTCCAGCTGTGAACACTGTTGCACTGGGGATTACATATTTAGTTTGAATTTGGGGCATAGCATTGTGTAAACATATTGTTCAACTACAATCTGGTAATTAGTGAGTGCTATAATGATCAAACCAGGAACAAATCCTAAGTCATTTATTCAAATTCTATGACTACTGGAAGTTGCAACTTCTTTTGAAATAAATGTTAGTCAAATGTAAAAAATAAAGAATGATGCAGTAGTGACTATTGTTATAGGACCAAAGCAGTAATATAGAATACAATAGTGTGTGTGTAGGGGGTGACTGGGAAGGTGGTCATCCTGAGTGAATGAAAATGGTTCAGGAAAATAAAAGAGCAAAACAAAACAAACTATATTCTAGCATTTGCAAAAAGTGGTCCCAAATGGAGACCATTATGCTCAGGGACATAAGCCAATCACAAAAACAACAATTATCACATGTTCTAATTATATCATTCTTAAAATTCATGAAAAAGTTGGTTTTTCAAATAAAAAAAGTAAAACTGTCTAACAAATGAAAAAAAAAAGATAAAAAAAGATGAAAAAGCACAGAAACAGAATGATCAGAAGTTAGTATTAATATGTATGTACCCCAAAACTGGAAAATCTGGAAGAAATGCACAGAACTCTCGACACAACTGATTTATCAAAACTGCCTCATGAAGATACAAAACCTACATAGACCAGTAAAGATGTAGGAGACTGAATCAATATTAATGACCTTCCAACGAAGAAAAACCAGGAGCTGATAGCTTCACTACTTACCAAGCTTTTCAAGAAGCAATTCCAACTCTGAAACTATTCAAATTAATTGAAAGGTAAAAAATCCTCCCCAACTCCTTCTATAATGCCAGTATCAACTTAATTCCAAAGCAACCAAAAACTACAAAAAAGAGAAACGTGGGCCAATATTCCTCATAAGCTAATCAAATCCAACAACAAATCAGAAATATCATTCACTTTGACTAAAGGAGATGTCCCTTGATGGCAAAGATGGTCAATGCATGCAAAAACAAATGTGACTATATCAGATAAAAAAATTGAAGAGTAAAATCTAGGTGATGCTTATCATTCAGAGAAAATATATTTGGTAAAAACACAATATCCTTTTTTGATATAAAAATTAAGCAAATTGGGCACAGAGAAACATATCAACACAAGAAAGAAATATATGACAAACCCACAGCCAGTATATTGTTAAATGGGGAAAAGCATAAAGTATTTTAATTTAGGTCCAAGACCAAAGATATGGACTTTTACCATTAATATCCACTATGGTTTTAGCCAGACAAATCAGACAAGAAAAAAAAAATCAAAGGATACAAAAGAGACAAAAATCAAAACTTTCCAGTATTCAGATAAAATTTTATGCACAGAGGGAATGAAAAGACTCTATTAAGACTACTAAACTCATAAGACAGTTTGGTGAAGTTGCAGGATATATAATCAGGAAACAAAAAAAACCATACAAATAAATTTAAATATCTTGGAATAAATTTAAGAATATAAAAGATCTCAATAAGGAAAATTATGAGTCATTAAAGAATGCAACAGAAGACAGAAACAATTAAACATCCTTTGATGCTCATGGATTGGAATTATCAAAATGTCCATAATAACCAAAGCAATTTAGAGATACAATCAAAATATCAAGGGTTTTTGTTCTCAGTATTATAAAAAGCAAGCAGAAAATTCTAACAGGAACACAAGGATCCAATAGTCTAGGCAATTTTAAATAAAAGTAAGGCTAGAAACATAACAATATTATATTCCAAGACATATTGCAAGGCATTTATAATCAAAACGTTGGTACTGGGACAGAAACAGACACTTGGACCAATGCAACAGATCAAAAACCACAGCAATAAATCCACACATCTACAACCAAATAATTTTTGTAAAATGAGCTAAAATCACTTCCTGGAACAGCTAACTTTCTTTCACCAAATGATCTTGTGAAAACTGTTTCTCTAAATGCAGAAGTATCAAACAAGAACCCTAGCTTACATCTTACACACAAATCAAATGACAGTGGATCAAGCATCTAACAACAAGACCTGAGACCATCATGTGACCAGAACAAGACTGGCAAAGCATTACCAAACAAACATTGTCATTCAAAAGCATTTCTTGGATAAGACACTCGAAGCAAAGGCAACAAAACAAAGTAAACAAATAGGATTATATCAAGAAAGAAGCTGCTGCACAGTAAAGGAAACAAAAAATGAAGAGAAAACCAATAGGAGAAAATATTTCCAAATACATCTGATAAAGTAATACTGTACAGAATATATAAGGAACTCATAAAGCTTAACAACAGCCACAAAAAATCCAATTAAGTAATGGGTAAAGGATATGAACAGGCAGTTTTCACACTTATGAAAAATTCTCCAGATCACTAGCTATCAGGGAAATGCAAATAAAATGACAATCAGACTTCCTCCCCAACCCCAGTTAGAATGGTTAGCATTACAAAGTCAAGATATGGATAGAAAGACACCCTAACACACTGTTAGTGGGAATGGGAACTAGTACAACCATTATGGGAGACAACACAGAAGATTTCTCAGAAATCTGAAAACAGAGCTACTGTATGACCGTCATCCCACTTCTGGGAATTTACCCAAAGGAAATGAAATCAGCTTATAAGAGAATTATCTGCATCTCTATATTTATAGCAGATCAATTTGCAATAGTTAAAGATACAACATCAACACAGATAGCCACAAGCTGATGACTGGATAAAGGAAATACAATACATACACACTATGGGACATTACTCAGACATAGAAGAAAATGAAAGCCTATTTTTCACAAGAAAATAGGTGTAATTAGAGGTCACTATATAGAGAGAAATAACATACCTTCCCTTAGAAAACTCTATTTTCTGATTTGTGCTAAGATATTGAGCACAGAAAACATAATACATATGAGTATAATTGACATTTCAAGGATTGCTTGCTCATAGTCTTTGTGTAAACAGCTAAAGAACAGTTGTTCTTCCAACTTACTGAATTTTTCTATTATTGTAGGAGTCAGTGTGATTATTATCTCAACATTTGCCATGCAAAATTCCAAAGAAAATCAAGGGAGGAGGAGGAAGTACAGTCTTGGAGACTGTTTAGGGTAGACATTATCTGAGAAGGAATGAGACAGTTCTGAACTGAGTGATTTTTGCATGCAAAGCAGCAGCCGGTGGAACCCCCACCTGCAGGTGGAGCTTGTGTGCTCAGTAAGGAATCCTGTTCTTTTTCCTCCAGTATAGGATGCTCTCGGGCCATCTCAGCAGCTAGTTAGCAATGGCAATGGGGATATAACCTTAGACTACTGCCACATCTGCAGAGAAAAATCTGACACCCTGATTAAGTAAACTGAAACTGTTTTTGTAGAATAGGGCTCCTATCCCTTGTGTAGAGAAGAAACCTATGGTCTCCCATGTTTACAAATCTATACTTTGTCTCTTTTTTTATATCTAGTGGTACACTGTCTGGTTCATGCTGTGCAGGTCATGGCAGTATGGGAGTAGGGAAGCAAAAGAATGAAGGACAGTTAGTGTCATTATATTCTTATAACTGTATATATGAGATACATGAAATCTATTCCCTTTATGTAAATACATAAAGTGTGAGAGAAAAACAAGTGAGATTTTATGCAGTGTATCTAATCCAGGAAAAAGACTTACTAGAGCTAGAAAGGGACTGAATATTTCTATTTAAAAAAAAATAACCTGCTTATTTATACAAAAGGCAGAATTACAGAGACAGAGCTTCTATCCATCACCCCACGCAGACGGTCACAACAGCTGCTGACTGAGTCAAGCCTTAGGCAGGAGCTTTGTCTGGATCCCTCACATGGGGAACGGAGCCCTGAGTAGTCATGCCACCATCCTCTCTTTCTCAGGTACATCAGAAGGGAGCTGGACAAGAAGTAGAGCAGCCAGCACATGAAGGGTTCTACATGTCATGCCAGAAGCATACACACACATTTAACACACTGTATCACAAAGCTGCACCCAAGACTGGATGCTTTTTGAAACAATGAAAATATCACCAAGAGCAGAACAAGAAGCAGGTTGGTGGACACATGAGTTTACTCTAGGCTGGTAGTTCTGCACCTACGAGCCCTGCCTGTGGGAGCAGCTGCCTCAGGTCTGGGATGTGGGAGTGCGGTAGTGGGAAGAGCTCCAGTCAGTGTCTGCCACACTCGTTCCTTCCCAGTCCCCCTGCCACTGTGTGCCGACTCACCTGGGAGACCCTGGTTTAGGCATTCCTGCAAAATCCATGGATCTGCTCCTTGTTCCAGTTTGGAGATCAAGCCAGGTTTGGGAATGCAGTGCCCTGTTCATGGGAAATAACACGACATCATCAAATCACTAATTAAGTTTTTTTTTTTTTCAGATAAGAACTTGATGCAGGAGCTAAGCAATGAAATGTGCCCATTTGAATCTCGTACCAGAACAGATACTCAGATTTTTTATGTGCACAAATTACAAACCCACCCAGCATTAAACCTCGTGACTTGTTCACTGGTTTGTAAGTAAGAAGAAAATGTTCCAGATTGGAAAGTGTGAGGAAAACCACTCACCCACAGATACCAGGCTGCTGTACGTCTCCAGCATCACATCCCTGTACAGGGCCCTCTGATCATTGTTCAGAATCTGCCACTCCTCCCTGGTGAAGTCCACAACCAGGTCTTCAAATGACAACACCTGTAACAGCACATTTCTGCTCAACATATCATCTTTGTTACAAAACAAAGACTGAAGTACATCCTTTTGTGTGTATCTTACATGCCAAAAGATCCAGGTAAGTTTATAAATTACGTCGTGACAGAAATCAAAATCATAATAAAATATGAGCTCTATGTTAATTTAAAGCTTCACCATTACTGCAAAAGAGTTTTCATATTTTAGAAGTAAACTTCCTCCTCACGATCCTGAGAGGAGTTCACACTCTAATCTAGATAGAAGCATATGACTGACTGGAAATGCTGCAGAAACAACACAAGATACATTTTTTCAATATGAAACCAAAATGGAATTATTTTTTCTATATTATCAGGTTGTAGTTCACTAAAACAATGAGAATATTTACATCTGCTTGAATATGTTTTCATGAATACAATACAGTACAAATTAGGTGATAAAAACATTTAAAACCACAGGCCAGGTAATGGGGGCTACAAACTAAATGAGTAATCACGTTCAATGCTGATAATTAAGATTTGTTTGACTCCCATTCCTAAACAATTACAGCAATAACAATTTTATATGTTTACTCTTTTTGTGAATGTATCTGGAAAGTATTTGATAAGTAGTTTCATAAACATTTATATTTCCTTCCCCAACAAAAATAATTGCTATTTTCACATACAAATAGATGCCCATTTCTTAAAACACACAATATAGATAACAGGAAACCAATGAAATACAGCTGTAGTAACTTAAAAGGTTTTCATTTTCAATTCACTGTGAGACAGATGGCAAAGAAATAATTGCATAGAGGGGAAAAAACAGAATGAGACATTGTAACTTATCAGAACAAAGGGAAGTAAGGAGACAGAAGAACTCACTGTAATTCAAAACAAAAGAACAGCAAACAAAGGATTCACCATAATTTTTTGTATAGAGAGTGAAAATGCAGAGTTAGTTTCCTTGCCACTGTGCATGAGGTATGGGGTAAATACTGGCAATGCATGCTGAAAATGGGATAAAAGACAATGAATGTGGCAGGAAAGACACTGACTTTGTTTGACATTTCTGTAGGCAAATATGTGTGGATGTCCAAATGCCAATGGCTATCTGATAAATAACTCAGCAGAAAGTGCCAAACCTCAAATGACTGGCACCATTCCAGTGATGCCTGAGGCCATCACAGTGAATGCAAGACTCGGTGCGGAGGCAGCAGGCAGAAAATGGAGCAGCACAGAATCAGAGCAAAACCTGACATCCAGTCAGAGGAAAAGAAGAGAGTATTACTGGAATAGGGTAACAGAGAATGCATTTTTAAAGCTTAAGGGATAAGTAAAATTTAACAGGAAGTAGTCTACTTGAGATAAATAAAGGATTTTCTGGGAAAAAAAAAAAGCTAACATAACTGAAGGAACTGGGTGCATCCGTGGACAAGGGCGCTGTTCAAAGCCCAGGTGTTCTGGCTTGGAACACTAAGTGGCAGCGCTTCCTCCACAGTGCTACCTCTCCACTGTGCCTCCCTCTGGTTAAAACTGACAGAGACAGCATCCCTGGCCTCAGTACTATCTTATGCTTTCCTTGAGTGTAAATAACAGACCAAAGCATACCAAGATGCTGTGTTAATGTCTTCTCTCTTACTTTTTTTAGTTTTACTAACATAAGAATAATTATTCTAAGAACTGCTAGCTTCACATAAGAATTAATGAAAGCCTTTGTGTGACATCTGCGTTCTTTTGGGGTATAAAAGTCTGTATTCTCAAATAAAGTGCATCATCCTGAAAGTGCGGTGATGGTTGCAGTGGAGAGTACTAGAATCATTTCTCCCTTAAGCTTCCTCTTGTTGTCCGATTAATCCTGACACGTAACTAATGACATGGATCTCCACTACAGAATGCTAAAAGAAGCTCCCCAGGGTGGATTAAATCATGCAGGAGCATTATTTGTACGCAAAGTAAGGAATCAGAACGACTAAAAATAAAACACCTTGTCTATGGTCAAATTTGAAAGACTACATATTTTTTCTAATTAACTTCTTCAAAAGAGGAAAGATCTGAAAAAATAGCACATGGTATGCAATATTCATATGCTGATTCCATATGTATTTGAAGGATAAACAGTACAATGCATTGGGGTCAAAAATGGAACTACCCCCTGTAAAAGTCCCTATATATGAGCAATACAACATGTAGCTCCATGTACATTATGATAAACTACTCACCTTGTAATTTTTAATGCACCGAATAACAAATAAAAGCTTATAATGATTTTATCAATAAAAGAAAAATGATAGAAAATCATAACACATTTCTTTGCTATTCACAAATAATGTTAGACCAATAACACTCCTTTTAAAGTCACTGATGAAATGAATGTTAAATATAAACATAAATAGTAGTGACCTAATTCATATTTTAGATCATTCTGCAGGACATTCACCAACACAAAAGATGAACTGAGCATAAATCAAGATACAACCAAAATTGTAAGACTATTTTTTCTTCTGACGAGATGGAATTAAATTAGAAATCAATAAACACAAACCCAAGTCTCTAATATTTCGAAGTAATCTATTTCTAAATAATGAGTCAAAAAAACTCAAGGTAAATTAGAAAATGGAAAAATTATTCTAAGAATTAAATTGCCTTTTTCTATCTTAGAGATGGAATCTAATGCACATTAACTAACTGGTTAACCAATGTACTTATGACAAAAATAATAATATTAGGTTGAGATTAATATTGGAAATAAATGGCATGTAGCAAAATCTTGGAACTCAAAAGTAATAAAAATAGATTTTAAAAAAGCAATGAATGAAACACTTCCACAGGGGTTGGCGTTGTGGCACAGTGGTTTAATCTGTGATTTGCACGCTGGCAACCCACACTGGAGTGACAGTTCAAGTTTTACTTAGTCTGCTTCTGAGCACACAAGCTGGCGCTGGAGGCAGGCCAGGCCAGGCACAGATTTGGCATTCATCAGCATCTGGGTGGCCGGGTCTGGGGACGGACTGGGATGTTCTAAGTTGCATAACCTGTTGGTACGTGGAAGATTCAGGACAGAGTTGGGCTGTGCCTGGCCGGGCTGGGCTGCAAACCCACTAGGCAAGAGCTGAGACTGTAGGTGAGCCATGCCAGACTGGGTTGAAGCACCAACTAGCACACCTAAGATGTGGGTGTGGGAACAGGACTGGGAGGGAAACTGGGAACCCCACTGCTAGGCTGCAGCTCACACTAGTGAGTGACACAGCCAGAGCTGGTGGAAAGTAGGCTGGGCAAGGCTGTAGCGCCCAATGACATGTGTAGGCCTGGTTTGCGAAAGGACCAGAGCAGGCTAGGCCCCAGCACCTACTGGTACTCATGAAAGCTGAAAGGGTATGGATGGTCAGGCTAGGTCACAGCACCCAGTTCACATGAGAGCCAGGCTTGGGGGTTGTCCAGGCTGGGCTAGTCTGTAGCACCCATTAGTGAGAGAGCCAGGAAGGGTACAAGCCGGTTGCGTTTGGTTGCAGTACCATCAGAGTGCTAAGCCTGGGGACAGGCCATCTCACCCTGGGATGCAGCACCAGCAGGCACAAATCAGATCTGGGTTGGAGGGGACTTGGTAAGGGAACTTGTGGAACTCCCCTGCTAGGCTGCAGCTCCCAACAGTGAGCACAAGATCTGGTGCTGAGGCAGATCAGATTAGCTTAGGCTTCAGCACCCGCTGGTGTATGTTTCAGCTAGGTCTAGGGGCAAGCTGGATTGGGCCAGTCCACAGCACATATTGGCATGACCAAGAGCCAGGATGGGGTGCTGGCCAGGCTGCGTTATACCACAACATCTGACAGTTCATTCATATGAGCGCTGGGGAAGGACCAGGCTGGCATAGGCTGCTGTTCCTGCTGGTGAGAGTTGGAGCTTGGAGCTGGTAAAGAGGCTGGGTTGAGCCAGGCTGTCATATTTGCTGGTGAATAATTAGACTGGAGGAAGGCCATTTCCCCGAATGGCCCACACACCTATTGGCACCTGCAAGACCTGGCATGGGAGTGAGCCTGGTCAAAAAAAAAAAAAAAACTTCATGTATTTCCTTACTTGGCTGCTGCATTCATGCGTGAGCAGGAGACCTGGGATTGAGGGAGATGTCTGGGGTACACTGCTGCACCTGCCGGCATGTGTATAAGCCAGAATGAGTATGGACCAGCTGGTCTATCCCAAAGTCCCTGCTAGCAAGTGCTAGGACTGTGTGTGATCATGTCAAGTTAGACCGCAGTACCCCTGGCAGGCACAAGATCTGGGTCTGGGACTGCACCTGGTAGAAGAAATATGGGCATTTCCCTACTGGGCTGCAATTCTCAGTGGTGATAATCAGAGCCAGGGCTGGGGATGGGCCAACCTGGAAAATACAGCAGCACTTATGACTGTGAAAATCGGGCCAGAAGTGGGCTGCATTAAACTGCAGTTATAATAAGAGATTGCACTGAGATGTACTGACCAGGCACCTGCAACCACTGCTATGTGCCTTGGCTGGTGCATGTGACAGATGGAACCTGCCCCTGCAGTAGCTGGTGCACATAAGAGTAAAATCTAAGAATTCTCCAGGTGAGCTTTCTTGGGAGATTTCCCAACTAGACCACTAGACTGAGATCCCATCACAGGGAAAACCATACATCTTAGAGTGCAAGTATTAGGACTGGGCTTCCTCAGTAGATGATGTATCTGCACTGGAAAGCATGCCCAGATGCACTAGGGGATGCGACAGGTCATCTAGGGCAGCAGAGGACGATGACTATTGCAACAAAGGATGGAAAGCAGAACAGCTCAGACCATTTTCCTGGCCAAGCTTTGCTCCATGTTCCTGGGCCTGGGAAGACACTACGGTAGACCTAGTCAGCCAACAGACCTTTGCAAGATTTTCTCAACTCTGATGCAATGAAGTGGATGACATCTCAGAACAGTCAAAAGCACTCAAATAACACCCTTGGAACACTCTTCCCCACACCAGAGTCTTTAAGGCGTCATCAAAGAACCATCCCCTATCCC